AAGTTAAATAATTTTAACTTAACTTAGTTACATTTTAGACTCTTAACTTTTTAACTTTATTTAGTTACACTTTATCGATAACTATTAACTTTTACTTAAATTATTATAAATTACATTAAATTGAATGCAGATTTTTATTATTATATTTGTGTAGACTAATATTAATTTTCATCAAATTTTACTTATTTAACCCTGTGTAAGGCCCAGTGTACATAATTAAGTACATTCACTTTGAACTTTTCTCAAATACTATTTATATTGACACAGTAGTGACTTTGTGTAATACTCTTAATTCATACTTACTAGTTGCAATTAGAATTGCTGTTCCAATTTAAAAAATAATAGTATTCTCATTAAATAAGCCACTCTGGTGATTGTTTGTAGAGTAAATTTACTGACACTTGATTTTGTGTAATATGTTATTCATTTTGTATACATATTATTGAAAATATGTAAACAATTAGTAGTTTCTTATTTTTTACCTTCTTAAAGTACAATATTGATTTATCATGTTTATTAATTTAAATATTTAATTGTAATTTTGTAGCTGGAGTGTATATATAAATATAAATGTACATAACCATGTACCTTCAAAAGAACAATTTTATTTGATACACAAAATTCTTTATCAGGAATATTTGTAAAAATCATATTATAAAAAAAAATTTTACTCAAACAGAATCGGTGTCTGGGTCTAAAGAAACTCGATGTTTTTATATGAAATACAGTTTGTACTAGATATGCAACATATTGCACGCTAACATAATATAACATTAACATAATATATTTTAATTCTTCATATAATCTTGTATTTTATTTAGTAATCTTTTACTATTTGTTTTTCTATTAGAATAATAAATCTTTTCTCACACACAATTTCTAATATAAATTTAAATTTGTTACAGAACTACATTCAAGGGTACAAAACAGGACATGAAATTGTTGGATAGCCCAAGGAAAAAGAAGCTGCGTTTGTAGATTGCAAAATTGAAGGCACAAAACGAAACGCTCCGCGAAACAATCCGACGACTCCGTTTGAAAGAAAAGAAGAAAAGCATACAAACAAAAGAGACTAACGAACATGAAACTTTGAAAAAATTAAGCCGTAAGTTATTACCACCAAGCTTTAATAAAATATTAGCGGCACAAATTGATGCACAAAGCAAAAACAAATGTGGCAGAAGATATGATTGTGATTTTAAAAAATTCGCTTTGTCATTCTATTTCTTAAGTCCAAAAAATTATAAAGAACTGAAGAAAACAATTACATTGCCTTCACACAGTACGTTCTCTACAATTATTTACACAAACGTGGAATATTGTGCCTAACATAAATGATAAACTTTTTGAAGCACTTAAAGTAAAATTGAGTATATTACCGTTAATAGAGCGCCATTACGTATTATGCGCAGATGAAATGAGCTTGAAAAGCTTTTTATTTGATGATATATCGCGGAATGAGATAATCAATTTTGAAGATTTTGGTAATAGGAAAACATCCGTACCTTCAAAAAGTGCATTGGTTATAATGGCACGTAGCATTGCAGGAAACTGGAAACTGCCCATTTATTTTTGCTTTATAGAAACTGCATGTCCTGCTACATTTTTAAAAAATATGGAGCAGGACAATACTAAATTAAACCTTATATGGTTATATTTATTAAGTTTTAATATATTAACATCTTTATAATATATATGTGATGCTTGATGGTAGCATCAAAATTATTAAATTGCTTGTCAATTTAATTCGCGATTACTAGAATGGTTTTAATTGCGTTTATATATAGCGTATTCGATTACTGACTCGACCCGACTCTGAGTCAACAGTCTGTTCTTTTTAGCTGCATTTCTTACACAATTTAGCTCTTCTTTTGCAGCTAAACAGAACAGACTACTGACTCGGAATCGGGTCGAGTCAGTAAATCGAATACGCTATTAGTCCGGAAACATAATTCGGCGCGCAGTTTGAAAAAGACTACAATATGGTATATGCAAGTACATATATAGTATATATTAGTAATTCAAGATTGAATTATTTAAAAGCAACGAAGATCCAGCTTCGACCGTAATAGGCATTTTAAATTTCTAGTATTGATTGTGTTTCTCACATATACGGTCTAAAATAAAGATATTTTGCTTATATGGTTAAATAAAATAAATCATTTATATTTGACTTTAACTAAGTTCAGTTATAACTTTTAGTCTTATCTTTTATAGCATAATTACGCTAATTGATAGTTTTATCAATCATCTTACAGACTTCTGAAAAAAACGCAACTTAAATTACATTACATGATGTATCGTAGGAGCAGAGACAATAAGTAATGTGCACATATATATTTTCCAACTAAAAAGATATACCCAATGCATACATACAAAATACATCATAAATTGTCGTTAGTTTTGACTGCGTAGAATAATAGCTAGATTATATTATAAATTAAATATACTGAATGTAATTTCTTGAAGCTGATGTAATTATTTCATCATTACAGTATACAAGCGCAAAAGAGATACAATGCTGACATATTCTTTGGCATAACAATTAGCTATAAGTTCATAATTTAAGATATAAATAACATTTGATTATAATAATGCTCAGAGAAGCCAATTTGTACTAATTAGATGTATAATATAATTATAAGTGCATGTCGTCATAATTTCATCGAGAAATATTAATGTATAATTTTTTTCCCTCACCAGTTTACGAATCTTTCAATAAATATAATAACGTGCACTATTAAAACTTATCATGTATTTAAATATCTTGTGTGCCTCACGTCTCAGTTCAGATTTTGAAATATTTATAATTATTCTTATGAAATATAAAGACAGGAATTCATTAAAACAGAATTGTTATCAAATCTTGAGAAAGTACAGATAATTATTACTGTCATACATATTTGTATTGATATCCTTATCTATGATCAACAACGTAAATGTTTAATGTGCTACGTATTAAATACTAAGTAGATTTCGATATAATATAGATTTGCTATAATATAAATTGTAAAAATGTATTTTTTAAATTTGCTTATAGCAGTAATGTTTTCTTCTTCCAAAAAAGCCGTAAATAATGATATCAATAGCCAATATATGCAATACGAGATCTTTTGGTAATTATTATAGAATATAAATCTGGTTAAATATAGGCCTTTTGATGGCATTGATTAATATATGTTTTATGTAATTATCATCTTATACATCAATACATACATATTTATATAATTGTTTTAGGTAATTAGGTGTAAATAACGTCAAATCAATTTAAATGATACATCAGCGTCCATGAGCCACTACCAATAGAATAGAATTTTGGTCATTAGTGCACATTACATTACAATACATAATACATATTAAACAAATATAAAACGTTAAATCAAAGTACCTGTCCTCTCCCACTTTATCAATAAATTAATATATTACTTAATACAATTATTTCACATGCTGCATAAAGTGGGAGACAAGATTTTAGCTAAATTTTACGATATAATTAAAGTTAAATTATACTATATATGCATACTTAAATAAATGTAAAAATTTCTACAATAAAAATTAATGAAACCTCATATATATAGGTATCGGTTTAAAATAATATCTCATTATACATAGAAAGTAAAACTATTACATGATGTGCAAGAACAAAAATAGTATTATGCATATAATGATTAAATATAAATAATAATGGTATATGTATAATATATTAAGCTGGAAAATATGTTACTTTTGAATTAAATCTACCAAAAATATATTTAAAAATGATATAACTTCATTTATATATTTTAGGAGAATTTGTAAACAAAAACTTTATTAATGGTTCATGATTTTCATGATGTATAACATTTTTGTCTTACAATAATCCTACTTATTACATGTATAAGATTATTTGAACTAATAAATACATTAATTGTCACTTGTTACCTCATGACACGACATACGCAAAATTAAGTTGTACAAAGTAAGTGTGTTGGATTAAAATGAAGAACAGAAGTAGGGTCAATTCAGATCGGAGAAGGATGAAGCGATGGACAGATAAGCCCCAGCCCCTAGCAACACCCACCACCCTGCGTACTGCCTTGTCCACCAGTTCCTGCTAAACCTCCAGGACTTGTTGGCGAATGTTGTGGTCCAATCTTAATGCCGTTTGCCTGTATGCAAATTTATAATGGAAATATATAAAAAATATATAAAAAAAAACAAAAAATAAATACGAACTATATGTTGTCACTGCTTATTTATCTGTTATTTCTTATCTTCTTTCACAGTGATATGAGATAAACAGTAATAAACTCATGTGTAATAATAAATCAGAAAAAAATAATAAAAGTATAAAATCATGAGAAGATTTTGTTCATTACTCATATTTAAAGTATATATAGATTAATTAAAAGAATTAGTGTCATACCTCATTATTAATGTCAAAGACACCCTCCTGTATTTTTTCATAAATTTCTTTTGCTGTATTGATGAACGCTTCTTCTACATTGGCTGCAGTCTTGGCACTAGTCTCCATAAACACAAGACCATGTTCCCGTGCAAAAGCCTCACCTTCTTCTCTCCTTACTTCTCTTCGACTATCTAGATCACTTTTGTTACCGATTAACATGATAACCATATTAGAATTTGAATGTTGCCTTGCGTCCTCCAGCCATGTTGTAAGATGATTAAAAGTTTCTCTACGTGTAATGTCGTATACCAACAGAGCTCCAGCTGCTCCACGATAATATGACCTTGTTATAGAACGAAATGCCTCTTGGCCTGCCTAAAAATGTAAATTAAGAAAATAATTAATAATAAATTTCTACTAATTATAAAAAATTAAAAAAGGAAGCATATAATTATCAGAATTTGTATCTCAGCAAAACATTAAAATAAAAAAATATAATTTTTCACAGAATAATTGAAAGTATCTTTTCAAATGAGTTTAATAGAATTTAAAGCTATATAAACGTCTATATAAACAGTAATGTATTAATTTAAATATCAATTATTGATAGAAGTATTTATACTGATTGAGAGAATAATTCTATTAATAGCAAATATCGGTAATATGAAGCTTGATTTCAATAATATAATATGAATTAAATAATATTACAGTGTCCCATATCTGCAGTTTAATTTGCTTGCTATCAATGGTAATCATACGAGCACCAAACTCGACTCCTATTGTCAAGTCATGGACTGGCTGAAATCTTTTATCCGTAAATTGAAGAAGAAGACAGGACTTTCCAACTCCTATATAAAAATATCATTGTATTTATATATTATAATAATTGTTAATTAGTAAGTTGTAATAAAATCTCATATGTATATCCAAATTAAATACCAAATTTCCCTATACAAATTGGTCTGTATTCAGAATACACTTACAATGTTAGTGCACTAACATACTATACTTTACGTCACACATATTATAGAATTTCAGAGATAAAAGCACGCTTTTATCATAAAAGTGTGTTCTGAATACGACCGTTATTTTACTGTAACACTTACAAGTTTTTGTATAATATATTTGCAATATATTGTACTATATAATTTTTTTAATTTTCTAGATTTAACATAGTAACATATATTTACAATAATTTATGAATTTAACTATGGAAACAAAGTTGAAACAATATCTTTACAAGTGATAATAGACATTATACAAGATATATGCAAGAGATATTTAGCAGCAGAAATAATTCTATTATAAAACATATAGGCCTGTATACGAAACGCATTTTTATCCCTAAAATTCTACAATACGCGTAATGTATAGTATGTTAGTGCACTAACATCATTGTAAGCACGTTCTGAATACGGGCAACAACGAGCTACTATTAAAGACCACATCGGCCATAGGTAAATTTTCAAGACTATCAATAGGGCCCGAAGGGCCCATGGATATGTATATAATTGAAGAACGATGACGTTAATGACAATTAATAAAAATTTATGACTATTAATATAAATATTTCAATAACATATTATTAAATTCATAATTTTTTATCATATAAATACTATATAAATAAGTGCATACTTTTTTGATATTATAATATCTTACATATTGCCAAAAAATGACAATTCTTTCTCTGCAGTTAATATCGCTATTGATAATCAAGCTTGGATAACATTAAAATCAGTTTTAAATAAAAATCGAGTATTACTTATTAAGTTTTAAACATATGTACATGTCTACGAAACTAATAAATCACGATATCAGTACTGTATTATTAGTTTCTTACTCTTAGGCCCGGTTGCTCCACCTTTTGGTAAATTTTATCTGTTAGGTAAATCTGGTAATCCGCGCATGTAATTAGGTAATCTTGCTACTTACCCAACAGGTAAAATTTACCGTAAGATAGAACAACAACGGCCCTTAGAGCTGATTGTTCCATCTTTTAGTAAATTTTACCTGTTAGATAAATCTGGCAATCCGCGCGTGTGATTGGGTAATCTTGCTACTTACCCAACAGGTTAAATTTACCAAAAGGTGGAACAACCGGGCCTAAATCACTTAAATTTTAACAGGTACACGAACTTCCATAAGCGCAGATTGTCTTTTATAGTATCTTGTTGGTGATGTGGGCCACAATGTATAACACGCTATATATAGATGTTAACGTGGAAATTGACAGAAAAGTTCGTCAAGTCGTACAAAATTGTATTCAATAGTCATGAAACAGCATACAATAAATCAAGTAGCAATATGATATGAGACGAGATCTACTTAAAATCCATCGCAACAAATATATGCTGACATGCGACGAATGTATTTAAAGGAAATTAACGTGTGTTAAAGGAATTTTTTTGTCGGTGGCTGCCTCCGTAAAACAAAGTTATTTTTGGATTTACGAATCAGCAATAACGTTGCGCATCACGGAAACGAAAACAATGGGACAGGAAAGTCTGTCACGGACGACGTAGAAGATGCATGGAAAGAGGGAGGAGAGCGAGGATCCCGTTTTTTTTTTGCGGTGGTACCCCGCGCGCACGTCACGTTATTTACCTGTGTCCCCGATAATAATATACTTGAACAGATAAGCGTACGACATTTCGACGATACGCGAGATTGACGAGACGAGCAGACAATCTTCTACAACACCGAGAGACACAGCAGGAAACAGAACTTCCTTCCTATGACCGTTCTCTTATCTCTTCTGCTCCAACATGACGTCACGCAGGAGCTTCGACAATCGGCACTTCGGCAGGCCTCGGATTGCCTCGCAGCCTTTTCGACTTTCCAATAATGCTGGATTCACACTGCATCCGATTTGCGTCATATGACGTTCTGCAACCAATCAGAAAGCAGAATTTTATTTTGTGTCAGTGGCCTAATTTTCACCGAGAATTTAAACTGGATCAGAATGGTCGCGTTCAGCCATCGACATCTAGAATGGACCGCTGATGGCAATGGTAGGGGTAGAAAGACGATTAGAGTGAGAGGCAGGAATAATAAGATCGTTCTTTCTCTGTTTACTGAAGCCTGATTGGTTGTTGTTAATCCAACAACCAATCAGGCTATTTAGAAACAACAGTAAACAGAGAAAGAACGATCTTATTATTGCTGCCTCTCACTCTAATCGTCTTTCTACCCCCACCATCAGCGGTCCATTCTAGATGTCGATGCGTTCAGCAGACTCAACTGTTGTGGAGCGGATCCGTGAGCGCTCGCTGCTATTGGATGATCTAGGAGAATAAGCCAATAACAGCGAACGCTCACGGATCTGCTCCACACCAGTTGAGTTTGCTGAACGCGACCAATGTAAGAAGAACCGGGTGGCACCCAGTTGGAGACGGCTCAATTGGACACGAGCCACTCACAGCGCTTGAGACTACAAAGCTCCTAAGCACCGGTCACTGTGATTGGTGGTGTCCAATCGAGCCGTGGTTAATCGGGATCACCCCGTAAGAACTACCAATCAACTACAGTCGAGTATTTCCCTGTTATGCCTAGTTCACACTGGACGCGATGGGCGATGAGCGACGAGTGATATCCAATGGAAACCCTTCTCTTTCTCACGTGACGATGCAAAGCAAAGCTTTCATTGGATATCACTCGTCGCTGATCGCCTATCGCGTCCAGTGTGAACTAGCCATTACAGTCAAACGACAGGGGAATGCTCGACTATAGTTGGTTGGTTCTTATATTCTGGGGCTCTATTCTTGAAAAGAAACGTATACGAAAATCTAGGGAAATGCTACAGTATGCGTTACGTATATTATAGTATTTCCCTAGACTTTCGTATACGTTTCTTTTCAAGAATAGAGCCCCTGATCCGGTTTTAACCCTCGGTGGAAATTAGGCCAATGATACGAAGCAAAATCCTGTTTTCTGATTGGTTGCAGAGCGTCGTACGACGCACGTCGGATCAAGGCTGCGTTCGGTAATATCACTCGGGTGCCCCTATGTATCACCTTATTCTTATTTAACATTGGGTGAACAACAAGGATAAAACGATACACAGAGGCACTTGGGTGAGGTTTCCGAACGCAGCCCTAGTGTGAATTCAGAGGCGTTTTTTCGTTATCTAACCAGAAGCTACCACAACTAAAGCTATCTTTGTCTTCAGGGATCAGAAAACGAAGATAGCCTTAGCCATGGTCAGGGTTGGACACGTATTATACACGAAGTTTCTGTTAGATATTACAATTATTTCAATTATTTGGTATCTTATTTGCTCATTTTTAAGTTATAGCGTTTTCGGCCCGATCGGGTTTGCACCAACCTGGGTTGGATTAATCTTTCCTATTGGTTGATGTCACACGCTCTACCAATAAGGGAGCGCAAAACGCCATTAATCCAACCCAGGTTGGTGCAAACCCGGTCGGGCCGAAAACGCTATTAATCTCAATTTTCTATGTTCAATGCCTAATACTATAGTGAATTACGTTTCGATGTGGTTGGTACTATTGCGTAGCGATCGAGTTGCCTATTACTATGTATTTCGTTCTTCTCTTCTTCTTCTTTTTCACATTATTATTATTACAATATATAACAGCTAAGCTACGTTCCTTCAATTCCCTTTTTTTGGGGTAATCCTGATTGATCACGGCTCGATTGGACACCACCAATCACAGCGACCGGTGCTTAGGAGCTTT